TATTTAAAAAAAAAAATATATATATATATATATATATATATATATATATATATAATTGTTTTCTGCTTTAGTGTTAAAAACATTGTATAATAGCACAAAGTAAAAGCTTTTAACTGATAAAGTCAGTGTTCACACACATTTCGTGGAATGACACGAGAGGGATTATAAAGGTTAGACGTTTAACCGGAGCAGTCGCGCATGCGCACACACTGAAGTTTACAGTCACCTAATACGGGTGTTCAAAGCATCCATCATTCATATGAATGAAACACAAATAAATAACGTGAACTCGGCCCTTCAGAACACAAAAGTTAAACTCTTTAACAATGCATACAACCAGTCGAGTTTCCATGACATACAGCCTTTACTCATTTTCTGGAAAACTTTGGTCACAAACGTAACTTATCAAAACAAAGCTATTCTGACTAATCGAAAAGCTAAATAACATAACTAAAGCCAACCAAATGCAAAACTATGAATAAATATAACTATCTCTGACATACAGGACGCTACACGAAGTGCAATATTTGCCACACAAAAGTCACAATTAAAATCCCGTACTTAAACAGAATTTTGCTTGTCACTAAAAGAAATGATCCGCGAAATTCACCTGACGACAGTTAATAATATGGATTCATTCATTAGCAGCATGCTAGCTCGCCAATGTAACGTTAAAAGCAATTAAACACAACCTAACAACAAGCCTCTAGGTGCTCTAAATAGAAGACACGCTCCAAATAGAGTAATTAAAGTCACTCACATTATCTGTAAGTCCGGCAAGAGTAGCTGTCTTTATGAACACAGAAGCGACAGACTGTCCCGGTTAGCGGTGACAGATTCCCTCGATGTGAAATAGTCCCTTCAAAAGCTGTTCTTGCTCTAAGTGTGCCCGGCTTCAAACTGAAGTCCACAGGAATAACAGCGACTTCAGTGGTGACACTGTATCTGTGACAGACACAGGCTGTGCTTCAAAACACAGAGAGCTGACTATCTATACAGCTTGTGTGGGCGTCCTACAGTCAGCGCGTGCGGCGACTTCACATCTTACCTGCTGGCCCAAAATGTCTCCTAGGTAGGGAGCTCACTAGGTTATTGAGACACAGCCGCTATTTCCTTCATCTAATCACTAAAATATCATGACTTTTAACACAACCAACACCATTTGTTTACTATAAAAGTAGAGTAATGTGTGTTTACGTGGAAATATTAGGCTATGACTATTTTAATGACTGTGTAGTAGCCTATATAAACGAGTAAAATACATAGGAATACAAATGAATGAGTTTAATCAACACAAATGTTTCATTTTCATTTTATCAGTTCTCTTCACACACATCGCGTTGCTTCATCAGCATTCTATAAAAAAAAATTAAAAAATGTTTTTTAAATCGTTGTGGGACTGAACAAAAAGCACATTTTTCTCAACAGGAGCTTTATAAATATATATGCACACTATAGAATGAATAACTCATGTTCCTAGTGGAAAATAGGCTAGGAATATGAACCAGGTCCAATCAAAACAATTATCAAATCGTAAAATGATATTCTAAGAAGAAGTCCCACTTTATTGTTGATAAAGTTGTGTTGAAAATGAAAAGGTGTCTGTTGAGGGATGAGGAGAAAGTCAAGAGCTGCCTACTGGATTGTCAAGGTGCGCAACTGATACAAACTGGAGACTCATTCATATTGTATTGGCTTGTAATTCAAAACTTATAGAAGTATTCCTAAATTGAAATCTAATACCTCGTTGAAAGCAGACTTTGTTTGTAAATCTAATTAGGACACATGATATCTCACTACGTGGCATTGTATCAAATTTCTGAGCAAAACAGCTAGGAGAAAAACAATTTTTAGTTTAAAGACTTATCTTTTTACATGCTGAAATGTTCCTCAGGGGGTTTATAGAGTTAAACTAGCAGCTTGGGTTAGTCTCACATATAGCCATGAAGCATTGTAGGCTAATATCTGACAAGATTTTACAGAATTATATCTTGTATTTGAACACATACTAATATTAAACATCAGTTCCTTCAGAAACGAGTTTCAAAACAGGAGTTTTACAGTCATGTCTGGTGAGCATGAAGAAACACCATTAATTAGATTTAATGCCACACTGACTTTTGCATTTCCCAGGAGCTTCGCAGCGATAAAAACAATCGTACAATGTGCTCCAGAGCGCATGTGCCAGTAACACAACATAAGCGAACGTATAAGAGAAGAACAGCTTGATTTCCAGACACTGTGACTCATCTTAATGATGGCTGTTTCTAATGAAAAAGCCTGAAGTGAGGAGGAGTGTTATGCTACACTCTTAAAAATAAAGGTGCTTCACGATGCCATAGAAGAACCTTTTTGCCTAAATGGTTCCATAAAGAACCTTTAACATCTGAAGAACCTTTCTGTTTCACTAAAGGTTCTTTGTGGCAAAATAAGGTTCTTCAGATTATAAAAAGGTAAGAAAGAGATGGTTCTTTAAAGAACCTTTGACTGAATGGTTCTTTGTGGAACCAAAAATGGTTCTTCTATGGCATCGCTTGAAGAACCTTTTGAAGCACCTTTATTTTTAAGAGTTTAGCTGGGAGATATTCTAGTTGTTTTCCAGTTACATGAAAGTATAATAGAACTTGAGTCTAAATATGCAATTTCAGCCCATTTCTGGAAGTGGAACTGTAAAATTATATGGTTAACATGCACCAAAAAAGCTTACTAATTAAACAGATGTTATACACAAATTTCATAGTGAACTATTGCAAATCATTTTCATTGTCTGAAAATAAATACGTAAAGTACTAATATACACATTTAGGCCTATCCAAATGGGATAATACATTAATTATTTTATTAAATATATTAATACTATCAATCATAAACACAAATCAAACAGCAAATTGAGTATTTGGGTTTGCCCTCCTTATACCCTCAGTGGTAACCAATCCCTCAAAAACATTTCAGCTTAAATTACAGCTCATTCCATATGTTGCTGGCCTTCTGGCAGACGGGTAATTCCACAAAGCACTGAAGTAATAACTGAGCGTTGAGTGTGTGATCCACTCAAAGAGTCTCATTAGCTCTAACACTTCAGAATTAAAAGATATAAAGGAAGTTTCTCATATGGAGAACACAGCAGGGATGCAATCTCAAGAGAGGGGAAGAAGGTGAGGCCATCACAGGTGGCCGTTTTCAAGGTTTCAAAGTTGATCAAATGATACAGGCTATGAAACGTTTCTTTTAAACTAAGAATTTACTGAACTTCCGGGTCTTACAAATCTAGTTTATTTGCTTATAGTTCTCATACTTGCTACAGTGTGCACATTAACCCTTTGAAGAAGGATTGTAAACCACTATCTTTAAACACCAATATTCGGTATGGTCAGCCGATATATTTTAAACGAACGATTCTTTTATTTATTTATTTTTTGCATTTGATTTCCCCAAGTCTTGAATATTATATAATCTGAAGTGCAGAGGGATCAGGTGGTTCATTATCATCCAAAAATTCTTGCCCAGGGTGAAACACAGAAATACATCAAGCATTTCAATTTGAGGATTGGAAGGCAGACGGTCATCTGTCTTGAGCGTGCAGGATGCCAATCTGATCATCGGCATAAACAGGCAAAAATTCTGCCCTCGAGCAGAGACAGAAGCAAGTCTGGAAGAACTAATGAGTTTAGAATGCTTATTTGGGCCTTTAACCACAGGAATGCAATCTTAATGTTTGGATTGCTTAAGGAAACAGCAAGGGCTCTTGGACATGACTTTCAGTCATTTTCAGACAACTACAAATAAGCCATTTATAAACTAATTTCCTTGAAGAATTCATAGAGTTGCTGTTTATTTGAGCATCTCAACCAGCACAGTACAGCAACATAGACTCAACCACTGAGGTGGGTTTGAGACGGGACTAACCCTTTTACTGAGTATTTGGGGAAACCTGTTGGAAAATAGTTATTTTTTGCAATTCTGTTTAGAAATTACACAATTCGGGTTTAAGTGAGTCTTTCACCACAACAAGTATAATTTTTTTAAATAACTCGCACTTGGATTCAGCATCTGGCCATTTTATTTTGATAGATTCTATTTACAGCAAATATTTTATTGAATTTCAAGAACAAAACATCCATTTCCAAAGCAAATGACTTATTAAATTTCATAATTATTAATTTAAGGCATCATTAGAATGAAACAGATGCTCATCAAAATACCTTGAGGAAGCTCTCTACATACTGCAGAATGTAGATGCCACAGTCTGTATAGTTATCCTGTTGTGGGACGAGGGGGCTCCATCCATTCATCACTCCATTTCCAAAACTCTGTTCAGAGCCCGTTTTGACCTTCCATTCCTCTTGTAAGTACCTTGGGTTTACAGAAAATATGTGGCTAGAATGGCAATGTTGTCTTACGCTCATTGATACGCCCCCCAGGTAAATATAACTAGCCGGCTAACATGCATGTGGTTTGCTCGGTTTGTGGGCAGATTTCCATTTTTATGTCAGCAACGAGTCCTTGGAATTGATTTAAACAAATGATTCTTTCTAGCATACAAACGTCTCCAATGAGATTTGAATGTGGTGAAGGACTTGGCTTTCTGAGCTGCTCCCCCTTGAGAAAGACAGCATTTTGGCGACATTTGACATTAATTGCCGACATTTGCTGCCTAACGCAGGATACAGAAGTACAAGAGAAAATGTGTGCTCTCTATTAATGCACAAGTGCAAAAATAATCAAGCACTTGAAACAGAAGATAATTACTCTTGGAGTAGCAGCACTGATGATCTTCCACTGCAGGCGAGGGAGTCAGACAGTAGCATGCATGGCCTACAAACACAGACAGTCCATCAATGACTGGGTACAATGGAGCATTTCATTGACTTGTTACTGCCATCTAGTGACGGGTAAAGGGAAAGCATGGGGGGGGGACTTGACTCACTGTTTAGAGACGTTACTTTTACTGTTAAGGACAGATCTGTTCTTGACCATCTGTAATTCAAAAATAGAAAAGGTTAATTCACTCTCCACTGATTTGTTACAGAGTTAGAAAGCGATTAACTGAACATCATCCTCAGCCTCATCCTCTGAAAGGGAGCAGAAACACTGGTCTAAGTCGTCTATGGGGGAAAAACATGCATAATGAGAGATAAATCACAGAAAATAATTTTCACTCATCCCTTAAAAAAAAAAGGAATACCTTTCTTCAGGAAGGATGCATCAAATTAATCAAAATTGACAGTGAAGACATTTATAATGTTACAAAAGATTCCTATTTCAAAAATAAATGCTGTTCTTTCTAACTTTTTTTTATCAAAGAATTCTGAAAAAAGTATTATGGTTTCCACTAAAATATTAATCAGCACAAATGTTTTTAACATTGACAATAATAAATCTTTCTTTAGTATACTGAAAATTCAGTTTTGCCTTCACAGAAATTTATTACATCGTTTTATTTTTAATTGTAATAATATTTCACAATATTAGTGGTTTTATTATTTAATGGTTTTTCATTTTTGATCAAATAAATGCAGTCATGGTGAGTATGAGACTTCAAAAAATTTTAAATATATATATATATATATATATATAATAGTTAAAAAAGGAGTGTTACTGAATATTTCATGTATTTCAGCTTTTACACCCTCCAGAATGTTGGTCCAGTGTACATCCATTATATGCATGTTAAAAAAACTTTTAAAAAAACTAAAATGCTCTCAATTTAGTCCAATTTAACTTGTATTAAGTATTTGTGGCTATACATTCGAAAGTCATAGACTTCCATTCATTGACACATTGACAGCATGACACATGACACTGAACGGGTTGTAAGTCGTTACAAAATCAGTGACCAAAAAGAACCAAATATACACAGAAATCTATCTAGAAAATAGA